AATCTGATACTCCCCTTTGGTTGTGATGAGCTCAACACACTCAACAGCTTCTGATGTTTCCTTCAATACAAATGAAAACAACAATGCAAATTTAAGCTCTTTTCGTCATATAAGGTGTCGTTTGGTTGCCAGGATAGCATTATCCAAGATACGATTACGTAATCCAATTATGTAATTCGACTAGAGGAGGTTCAATACGAGCTCATTCTTTCCAAAATTGAGGGTCAGCCTGAAAAAGTTTTTGGTCTAACTAAATATCAAATAAGGTAATCTTACCAACCAAACGAGGCATAATCCTATTAGAATCTCTTATCATTCCCCACTGTATTTGTATCCAACCACACCTAATATCAACAATCTGGTCTTGTAAAAGTTATATCAATCTTAGATACACAATTTTGTCCTTTTTTACTACAATACAAAATATGACAACTAAAGGTTCTAAAGCCAAAACTGTAATCCATTTTAATCAAGAAAGTTTAACCAAATATACACTAATTTCAACTGCAAAAAAGTCATATTAAAAAAAAAAAATAATAATAAAAGAAGGGCTCATACCTGTCCGTTTGCTCCAGCATTCATATAAACGGCACCACCAACAGTCCCCGGAATTCCACCGGCGAATTCGAGCCCCGTGAATCCTTCACTCGCTGTCTGAAAACCGAGACGATTCACAGGGTAGCCGCTTCCAGCTCTGTACAGACCAGGCTCAATCTTCTCTAAGAACACAATGCAATTCAGAATAACACAACCGTCAAATCCCAAGTCGTCGAAAAGACAGTTCGAACCTTTTCCAACGACGATATATCTCATGGACTGCTCATTGCAATACCTACATTAACAAAAAAAGAATAAACCTTTACACTAAAATCACATTACAGTAAATGTTGAAGTTCTGTGAGAACTTTCAACAGTAACCTGGTGGGCAAAAACCTGATGGCTGTGAGCAGTTGGCGTTGATCGAATACTTGAACGAATAATTTGCAGGGCCCACCGATTCCCCACGTGCTGAGATCACTTAGACGCTTTTCTCCACGAACGAAATGCAATCTATTCTGAGTTCGATTTGGGCTGTTGAAGCTGCAAGAAATAGGGTTTGTTGGAAATCGTGCTCGGCTGCATATCGGAATTTTGGGGAACAGTGTCAATGTTTCAGATGCAATCATCGGGAAAACGGCGGTGATTGCATTCCCTCGTTTTGATTTCTACGGTGTCGCCGATGATTGAAGGGGGGTTCTTGATTCATTTCGGCATTTTTGCATTTTTGCACTGGTAAAATGTGATAATTCGCTGAATTACCCCTCTGAAACTTCAAATATTACCGTTGAGTAGGGTTAATTTTGTCATTTCCTATCAAAAATAAATAAATAATAAAAGAAAGAAGAAAAAGCAAGCAGAAGATAGCTGCACAGTTATCCGTGCTCCACCGACTCAACAATGGCGGCACTCGGTACCATAATTCTGACTAGCAATCCTCACCGGCGAATGACCGTAAATCCCCGGGCAGTCCTCACGGGCAGCAACGACAAGATGCGGATTCCGTACGAGCTCAAGCAAGGGCAATCCCGTCATTTCCACAAGCTCCCGTCTGGTTTGAAAATGGAATTCATCTTCCAAAAGGGCCACGGCGAAAAATTCGATAAATCTCCGGCTCAACCGCCGCCGCCGCCGCCGTTAGTATTCGTCCACGGAAGCTTTCACGCGGCTTGGTGCTGGGCCGAAAATTGGTTGCCCTATTTTTCTCAACACGGTTTCGATTGCTATGCCATCAGCTTGCTAGGTCAGGTAATCCTTCTTCTCCCATTATCAATTTTAATAATTTTGTTTTTGGTAATTTCAGTGTACAAATATTTAAGATTTTTTATTTGGGTGAAATTAACTTTTTTTTTTGTGGCAATTTTCGTTTCCGATTTCAATCTGATGAACCGAAAAATCGAACATCGTTATGGCGTATATTAGTATTATTAAAAAAATAGAAACATATTGATTAATGAGTGTAGTAATGCTGGATTCTAAGGCATTGCAATTTATTGCGATTTTCAGGGCGAGAGCGATTCACCGGCTGGTCCAGTTGCAGGTTCGCTCCAGGTATCTTCCCGTCTCAACCGATAATAATTCCCCTTTCGTCGAGAAAAAAATGTTTTCGAGTTGTTAAACCGAATCAAATTTATTTTTTTCTCCGATTTGCGATTTGTTTTTTATAATCCATGTAATGGTGAAAACTCGGTATATACAGTAGACGCATGCAGCTGATGTAGCTGACTTCATCGGAAAGGAGATTCGGTTACCACCCGTGTTGCTAGGCCATTCTTTTGGCGGCCTTATCGTTCAATATTATCTTTCGAATATCGGAAATGAAAAATTACAAGGTCGGTAGCATTTTTGTGAAATTGATAAATTCAATATTTGTTGGTAGTTGCGGTTCTTTAGTATGGATTTATTTTATTTAACACTCGTGCGTTTATTTCAGAAATGGAACGAGCGCACCCTTTTCTAGCTGGAGGTGTACTTGTTTGCTCTGTTCCTCCTTCAGGAAACAGGTGAACTTTTTTTTTTTTGTGTGTGTGTGGTGAATTCTGTTATACAGTTAAACCTCTATAAATTAATAGCGTCGGGACTAGCAAAATTCTATTAATTTAGCAAAACAATAAATTATCGAACTAATAATTTAGTATGTTTTTACCGAGCCGGGACCAGAAAAAACTATTATTTAAGCGAGGTTATTAATTTATCGAGTATTAATTTATTGAGGTTCTACTGTATTACCAGACTTGCACTTAATTATATTTTTTTTCTCATTTATTCAGTGGCCTCGTTTGGCGGTACCTGTTCTCCAAACCGATTGCTGCATTTAAGGTATAATATACTTGCATTATTTTAATGAACCGATTTTTTTTTTTTTATAGTTGTAACATTTTATATACAATTTTCAGTAATACGATTACATGATTAAAAAAACTGTAATACGGAGCAGGTGACGCTCAGTTTGGCCGCGAAAGCTTTTCAAACATCTCTGCCTCTTTGTAAGGAAACTTTCTTCTCTGCATCCATGGAGGATGAACTTGTCCTTCGGTTAGTTTCTTGATTCAATTTGCCGTTTTTTTTTTTTCTAATTTAAGCCAGCTTAATTATTATTATTTTTAATTTATTTTTGTTTTTGCTAATTTTAAATTATTACCAGTTATCAAAAGCTGATGACGGAAAGTTCAAGAATGCCGTTGTTCGATCTACGGAAGCTCAACTCATCACTTCCCGTCCCTCGAATGAAAGATTCTTTTCTCGGAATCTTTGTCTTGGGAGCAAAGGATGATTTCATAGTGGTATGTATAATTCTTTGCCTTCGCAATATTGTACTTTCGAAAACTATTTCGTTTTGTAATTGTTTTTATGATTTATGTAGGATGCAGAGGGATTAAACGAGACGGGAACGTTTTACGGGGTGTCACCTGTTTGCGTCGAAGGAGTTGCGCACGATATAATGTTGGATTGCTCGTGGGAAAAAGGTGCACAAGTGATTCTATCGTGGCTGAGTTGTCTGAATAGAGACCAGACACTTGGTCGTTCGAGGTAAATTTGTGACACCAGAAATTTTCGAATTCTTTAGGGAAGTTTTTTTATTTGAAGCCATCTTAAATTCTTTCGGTTCTAAATGCGATCGAATTCTTGAATTTGGATTTCTTTAAACTACTTACTGTACTACTAAAGCGTGGATTTGCGTACGAAATAGAAAAAAATTTAGCAGCAGGAAGTGTTTGAATTTGAGGTAATGATTTAAATTCAAAATTAGAGCCATGAATTCGAAATTCATCGTAAAATAAATTTATCAAGACGAGCTCAATAAATTCTAAGTGTGAGTTTTTCTGCCGGACAATCTTTTGCTACTGTTCAATTCAGCTCCGATTTTCTTTAAATGCACCACCACACCTCTCATATCAATCCTCTCGTCTGGCGATTCTTTCAAGCAAAGGAGAGCCAAATGAACAATTGAAACGAGAATTTCTTCGTCCCCGTTTCGTTTCTCGTTTATCGGTGCACTGCTGCTATCTTTAACTGAAATAAGATCACTGACAATATTGTAATCCAGCACTTCTCTTAGGCCACTGGGGAATGATAAGCTCACCCATTGGTGTAGGCTTAAATCTTCACCGAACATATCGTCTGTCGGCCTCTTACCTGTCAAAGTCTCGAGCAACAAAATCCCGAAACTGTAAACATCTCCCTTTGTCGAAACTTGTCCGTCCATTCCGTACTCTGTTTCGAATCGAACTTTTTTTATTAGAGAGAAGTTGATATGTGTGAGGTCAGTGGTGGAGCCCGCAGATGGCTAGGGGGGCCATGCCCCCCCCCCCCCCCCCCCCACTGCTTCTCGAAAACTTGGTATTTCGTATAGAAATTTGTTATTTTTCGAGTATTGCAGTCGTGTTAGCCTCTGAATTGACAAAACCACTTTGTAGACGGCATTATTCTATCGAATTGCATATACTAAATTCATGTATAAGCTTACTAGGGGTGGAAATCGGCCGGATCAAATTGGAAATAGCACTTTTCAAAAAAAAAAAAAATGATTTTTCGGAAGTGAAAAAATAATTCCAATTCATTAAAAAGTTCGGAAATCGGATTTTCGGAAATTGGAAATTGGAATGAAAAAACTTGTTCCAAAATTGTAAAAAATCTGATCAAAATCGGCTCGAAAAATTCAAATATTTTGGTCCTATGAAATATAAAACACATCATAATATTCGTATTATAAGTGTAACTTTTAGGGAAGAGAAGGTCGAAATTTTTGAAAATTAAAAATTGGATCAGAAATTGGAACCTCGTATATAACCCAATTCCAATTTCAATTCCAATCCAGAAAAATTCGAAAATCCAACAATTGGAATTCAGAATGAAAATTTACGTTCAAAAATTGAACACTTTCAGATCGAAATCGGCAAAATGGGAAAATCCGTTCCAATTTTCACCCCTATAAGCTACTCTACTCTGTTTTAACTGAGACTACAGTAACATATGTGTGTGTGTGTGTTTATGTATATATATAATGAAAGAAGAGGCATATGAGTAGTATATACCTGGAGCAATATACCCAATAGTCCCCAAAGTCTTGGTTCGGACCAATTCTCCGTCTTCAACCAAGATTTTCGCGAGCCCGAAATCCGCCACACGAGCCATCATATCCTCATCAAGAAGCACATTCGAAGGCTTCAAATCGCAATGCACAATCGGCACCGTATAATCGTGATGTAAATACTCCACCGCCGTTGCCACATCAATCAAAATATCCACTCTCTCGATTAAGCTCAACGGAATTCCACGAGAGTGAAGCCATTCGTCCAAGCTCCCATTAGGCATGTACTCGAGTATCATGGCTTTGAATTCGACGTTCGAGCAAGTGGAGATTATTTTGACCAAGTTCCGATGCCTCACATTGCTTAGTACTTCGCATTCGGCATCGAAATTCTTGAGAGCTTTTCTTGAATATTGCATGTCGAAAACCTTAACAGCTGCTAAAGTGTTGTCCGAAAGCTTGGCCTTGTAAACCGTGCCGGAACTTCCCCTTCCCAATAAGGTGGATTCGCTGAAATTTTCGGTTGCTTTTACGAGTTCGTGGTATGTGATTGTCTGAAATCCCATTTGAAGAGTATTTGTTTCGGTTTGATTCTCTATAACTTTCTTTTTTCTTGAAAAAACGATCCATGCAAGAATCAATATCGTCACAAGCAGAAAAGTCGAAGCAATGGGAATGGTTATCTTGAGAACTCGAGACATTCGTTTTTTCGTTTTTCCGGATATTTGAGTCGTGCATGCCGGAAAATTTAAGGTAGGAGCACCGCACAGGTTCAAATTCCCCATCAAAGATTCGTAAGTGATATTTACGAAAACGCCCTTATTCGGGATTTCTCCTTCTAGCATGTTGAACGAGAGATTGAGGTAGTTGAGATCGCGTAGCGATCCGAGCGATGGAGGAATATTCCCGGAGAGAGCATTTGATGACATATCCAAGGATTCGATAACTATTAAATTGCTCAAACTATTCGGTATACGGCCTTGGAATTTGTTGCGTGACATGTCGAGTGTGAGCAGGTTCTGTAAAGACCCGAATGAGTCGGGAATTTCGCCCGAGAAATCGTTGTACGAGAGGTCAATGATGTTGACTGCTTTCAAGTTTCCGAATTCCGTCGGTAAAATGCCGTTCAAACGGTTTCTTGAAAAGTTGAAGCCTCCCACACTGACCAATTCCCAAAAGACGGAAGGTATACTAGAGCTCAGATTGTTTGCAGCAAAAGATACTTCTCGTAATCCGGTTAGATTCTGAATACACTCCGGTATCGATCCCGAAAATTTATTTTCTCCGAGATGCAAAATTCCCAATACTTTTATGCTGCAGAAAACATTTGGAATAGGGCCTTTTAATTCATTGCCAGTTAGATATATCCTTTCTAAGTTTTGCAGGCTGACGAACGATGACGGAACTTCGCCTCGTAAATTATTTCCGGACAATCCCAAAAAAAATAAAGAACTCAAATTTCCAATCCCATGTGGGATTACGCCCTCGACCTCACACGATATCAACGTGAACACTTTTAAGTTGCTCGATAAATTCCCTACCGATTCTGGTAAGATGCCGTTTAAAGGGTTCGATTCAAGAATGAGAAACTGCAGATTCCTACAGTTGACCAACGAATCAAGAAAGTCGAGATGAGTGGATAAAGGGCTGTTGACTAATGAGTTGACTTGCAGGTTCAAATGCTCCAGCTTCGTCAGCTGTCCTAACATCATCGGCACGGGCCCACTAAAGCTATTGTTCGAAACCTCGAAATGAACGAGGTTTGTGGCATTGCATATCGAAGAAGGTAACTCTCCACTAAACTGATTGTGTGACAAGAAAATTTCTTGAATATTAGGCAGCCAATTACCGAAATCACGAGGAAGCTCCCCACTGAGGTAGTTATGCCTGAATTTCACGATTTGGAGCGACGTAATATTAAACAAACTGTAAGGAATCCCGCCTGATATTCGGTTGTACTCGAATTCGAACCAGATCAAATTGCTCAACCTACCGAAATCCTGCGGTATAACTCCACTCAAATCATTCTCAGTAAAAAACAAATAGTTTAGCTTCGATGCATTCGACAGGAAAACCGGGATTTCACCGCTTATCCTATTGCCATCCAAGAAAAGCCTTTCAAGATTCGGAATATTCTCGCCTAGATTCTCCGGGACCCTCCCTGAAAGCCCGTTTATCGAGAGATCCACTATTCGCAAAGATGAGATGTTAAAGATTGAAGGAGGTATTGAGCCAGTGAGATTATTACCTCTCAAGCCTATCACTTTGAGACTAGTTAGCTTCCCTAAATCAGACGGAATTTCGTCGAATAAATCGTTTTCATGCAGATAAAAATACTCCAATCTCGAAAAGTTACCTAACGAAGGCGGGATTTTTCCGGTGAGATTATTGTGGTCGACGCCTAAATATCGTAGATTTCGCAATCGGCCGAGATTCTCAGGAATGTTCCCCGCGATGAAGTTGTGAGACAAATCGAGTTCTTGAAGATTCCTGCATTGGCTCAAGTTGTAAGGGATTGTGCCTTGGAGGGAGTTGTTTGTTACGTTGAGTGTTCGGAGGTTTCGTAAGAATCCGAGTTCGTTCGGGAGAATGCCGTTGAAGTTATTACCACTGAGATCGAGTTCGACGAGGTGGCTCATGTTGGCTATGTCCGGAGATATCTGGCCGTTGAGAGATAGTCCGGACAGATGGAGGGCTGTGATTCGCCGGTTCGTGCATGAGACTCCGTACCATGTGCAGAAATCGACGGTTGGGATCCAGTTTGTGGAGAGTATGTTGTCTGGTTGGAGGAGGAGATTGGATTTGAAGGAGATTAATGATGAGTAATCAGTAGTTGTGTTGTTGGTTTGTTCAAGTGATGATGAATTGCAGTAAAAGGTGGACAAAATCAAGAACTGGAAAAGATAAAAATTGAATCTTTGAGGTGTGTAGTTCAATTTCAAGAATTGGGAAAAATAAAAATTGAATCTTTGAGCTGTGTGTTTCAATTTCAAGAAGTGGGATGGATAAAAATTGAATCTTTGAGCTGTGTGTTTCTTCAACTTCAACATTTTTTTTTGTTGTTTGGGCTAATGATTTTGTTGAGATAATATGGTAAGAGAAAACTTCTGCTGCTGCTCAAAAGGGTATGTGTGTATGACAGCTGACAATGAGATATTTGTAATAAATTTGGGGAGATAGATTGTAGGTTTGAATCTTGATGTTTGTTTTTTTCCTGACATGTTTTTGGGAGAAAATTGAGCAAATAGGGTCAAAATTGGGTATTTGAGATGCTACAATCGGTGAAATACATCGGACACTTATTAACGGTTGATGTGGTGAAATAACTTCCCACTAAACACATATACTAATGGGTGTGTGTGATTGTGTTCAGATCAACGGTTAATAATCATTCAGTGTATTTCACCAAGTGTAGAATCAAACAAACCGACAAAATTGTGGTCTTAAAATTATTTTATTATTTTATTTTAATTGATATAATTATTTGGAAAAAAAGAAAATACAAATAAGGGTTAATAATAATAATAATATGATATTGTGTTTAAATGAATTTCTAGACTATTGTAGTTGACTTTTAACTCATGCAAGAAAATGAGAGTGGTTACATAAGATACTATTATTAACTGATATGAGACAAGATTTAAGAGGTAAGCTTCACCAGAAAACACTTCTCTTATTATTATTTTGTTACAAATAATCAATGTACTTACAATCAGCATCTTCACACCTAAAACAAGTTAACAATACATCACCAAGTCAACAAAAATAATAATTGGGGCGGCCACAAAAAAAATTGTTATTGATTAGTTATTTATGGTGAATGATTAGAAGGGTAAATTACAAATACCCCCTGAGGTATGGTCAAATTACAAAAAAACCCCTCTTGTTTGGATAATTACATCTACCCCCCTCAACTATGAGTTTTTCTTACACCTCCACCCTTATGGTGCCAAATTCAACATAATCATCTGGATTCCGTAAAATGTGCTCTAGTTTATACTCATTTTGTGTAAAAATACAGTTTCCGATGCACCAAAAACAGATATATACAAGCTAAAAATCACATATTATGATCATCTTGCTTCATAATGTAGCGCTTGAATGAGATAAAACGGGTACAAAAGTGATAATATTCCATATAATCTCGAAGATTTCACTAAATTTGAGGAGTTGAGGGGGTGGTTGTAATTATCCAAACAAGAGGGGTGTTTTTGTAAGTTGACCATACCTCAGGGGGGTGTTTGTAATTTACCCATGATTAGAATTATGTTGAAGGTATATTATCTTTTATATGTCAGAAATATATAATTTAGATTAATGTTATGAAAAACAAATATAATATGATAAATACAATAGTCATAGTTAAGTATTCTATCTAGATATTGATTAATAATTAGGGTAAATTACAAACACCCCTGAGGTATGGTCAACTTACAAAAACCCCCCTCTTGTTTGGATAATTACATCTACCCCCTCAACTATGATTTTTTTCTTAGACCTCCGCCTTTATGGTGCCAAATTCAACATAGTCATCTAGATTCCGTGAAATGTGATCATCTTTCTTCATAATGTAGAGTTTGAATGGGACAAAACGGGTACAAAAGTGATAATATTCCATATAATCTCGAAGATTCCACTAAATTTGATGAGTTGAGGGGGGTGGTTGTAATTATTCAAACAATTGTAATTTGACCATACCTCAGGGGGTGTTTGTAATTTACCCTTAATAATTATAATGGCTAATATAGTAAAATTATATTATTCAAATGCAATAGTTTTATCAATTACCAAATAAATATAAGAGTTGAGCATTCAGTTAAATTTAACCATTCAGTATGTATTTAACATTTAGTGTTCAATGTTTTATGTTGTCAAACATAACTTTACTCTTCGTACTTTGAAAAATACAATTACCTTACTCATTTTAATGGCCAACATTCTGTATCTTATTACAAACGGTGTTAGTCATCGCAACGATCAACCTATTTCATCACAAATGGTGTTAGTAGCAAAATAAGATTATAATTTTATTGCCAAATTTAATATCAATTTTTAATAATTCTTAATAAATGACACCTTATTTTTATTTTAAAAATATACATACATTTTTCTATTGTGGATAAATATATAAAATAAAATACTTACGATAGTATAATTTTTTAAATATTGGAATAAATTATTCATTCATTAAATATTTAAATTATATAGTATTTCTACAGTAATTGCTTTTGACAACATATGTTGATGTATTATTGTAACTAGGGCTGGGACTGGGTTGGTTTTTATCCATCAACCGATCCATTACCGACTATATTTTTAGACGGATAATCAATTTTTAACCGACCCATTGGATCGGGTCGAAAATTTCAACCAACCCATCTATAATGGTTCGGTTGATGGTTTCTAATATTATCAAAAATTGGTTGACCGATAATTATCGGTTATCCAACTATAGTATCAAAATTTTATTAAAAATATAAAATAAATGCCGTGTTTTTTTAAGTAGTTATTGAAATTATCAAAATTATTAATATTTTAAATTTTAAAACAATCAACAAAGAAAAAAAAAATTGACTTAAATCTTCAACGAGTTTCTTTATGCCCAACCTTTAACAAAAAGCCGCAAAACTTCACTAAATCTCTTGTGGATGTTTGAAATTACTTTGAATTTTCTAATTATATTTTTTCGTTAAAACGTTATTAATTATTTTAAACTGATAAATGATGATGGCGCCGTGACATTACACAAAATGTGGATATTTTTTTTGATAAGTACACAAAATATGGATATGTTTACTCCAAAATTTGAATTTTTCTTAAGTGAACTAGGTGGCGGGTATAAACCATCAACCGACCCATTCCGGAACCAAATATTCGGTTGCCAACCATCAACCGACCCACAAAGGTTGGGTCGGTAACGGTTTTCAAATTTGAGCTGAAATGGTTTGACGGATGAGTCGGTTTTAGGCTGGTAATCGACCGACCCAACCCAGTCCCAGCCCTAATTGTAACATCAAATTTCATTTAAATTCATTTTTTTCATTTATGATTAACTATAAGAAAATAGATGCTACGAATAAATATTACTCCCTCCGTTTCCTATTAAGTGTCGTTTTTTGGTTTGCACATGGATTAAGAAGCTCAATAAGTATGTCTTGATTTTAGGTAAAATATATTAGAAAGACTAAAATAACCTTGATTATTTAATAATGTGATAAGAAAGAGTTAATACTTATATTTGAATTAATAGGTTAAAACAGGAAAAAATGCATTTAATGCAGTATTGGAAATCTAAAGTGACAGATAATATGGAACAAAAATATTTTAAAAAGAAACAGTTATTGTGAAACAGATGGAGTAATTTTTAATTTACACATTTAATAAAGTATTTAAGTTCATCCAATGTATGAAAAGTTATTATATTTTAAAAATAAAATAGGGTAAATTACAACCACCTCTTAGGTATGGTCAAATTATGAAAAGTCCCCTCTTGTTTGGGTAATTACAGCCACCCCCTCAACTACAAAACTTCTTACACATCCACCCTCGCGGCTTCAAATTTAGTGGAATTTTCGAGATTATATATAATTTATCACTTTTGTACCCGTTTTATCCCATTCGAACTCCACATTTTGAAGCAAGATGATTATAATTTGTGTATTTTGGCTTGTATATATCAAATTGTGGTGCATTAAAAACTGATTTTTTTGCACAAAACGAGTACAAACTAGAGCACATACCACGAAATCTAGATGATAATGTTGAATTTGACACTATAAGGGTGAAGGTGTAAGAAAAAAAACATAGTTTAGGGGTGTATATATAATTATCCAAACAAGATGGGTTTTGCGTAAATTAACTATACCTCAGGGTGGTTGTAATTTACCCAATAAAATAAATTACAGAAATAATGATTTTGTTGAATGGGCCTTTTCTATGGACAACCCAAAATCAGATAATCAATACCGAATCCACTACCCATCAAATAGTCCGGGTCAGAAATCGGGTACCCATTTATCCCTTTATAAAATTTTGAACGGTCCAGATCTCTTCATTTAATAGTGCCTTCATCCCAGCCGTTGTCAGCTAGGGTTTTCATACAACACTTTAAAACCCTATATTCATCATCATACCTAATTCACTCTCTCTCTCCCTCTCTCTAATCTTTCGTTCTCAGCGAGTGGCCGGCGCGAGTACAGATCCTCCTCCGCCTTCTCATTTCTCTACTCGCAGGTACCATTTCTAAGCTGATGGGCGCCGTTCTCCATTGCTGTAAACTGCGTTTCGATTTAAATTTTCGTTTCTGAATGTCTGAAAAAAATCAGTGATTTCTTAAGTTAATTCGTGACTTTTATCGTATAATTATTGATTTTAATTGATTATATGTATGTGTATTTTGTGTTGCTTGTTTATGGAGTGTGTAATTAGATGTGCCCTGTTAATTGTTCATACAAGATTTAATCTTGTATTAATTAGCATAATGTGCTGGTTTATGTTTATCAATAGCGAATGATTATGAATTTGATTTATCGAATTAGAAACTTTGTTGGATAAATTGTATGATTTAATTATTTGGTGCCCTAATTATTCCCTTGTATATTCCCTCATAAAGAGGATTCAGTCATGTTGAGGTAAAAAGATTGGTTCTTGTGGGGTAAAAATTAACTATATTCAGGTGTTTGCATAATTGCATTTCTGCGTTTTTTGTCGGTAGATTAATTTAATACGTGACTTTTATCCTATAATTTTTAATTTCGTTAGACTATATGTATGTTTCTTTTGTGTTTATGGAGTGTGTAAGTAGGTGTGCCCTAATAATTGTTCATACAAGATGGAATCTTGTATTATTTAGCACAATGTGCTGGTTTATAATGATCCTAGCCGGATGATTCTGATTTTGTTTTTTCGATTTAGAAACTTAATTGTTAAAATTGATGAATTAGCTATTTGATGCCCTAATTATTCCTGGTATATTCTCTCATAAAGAGGATTCAGTCATGCTGATGTAAAAGATTGGTTCTTGTGGGGAAAACGAACTATATTCGGGTGTTTGCTTACTTGGATTTCTATGGTTTTTCATCAATCTTTTATTTGGGTGAAGATGAAGTTCCTTTTGATAAAGAAGCTCTGTTCGTTAACTATATGATATGATTTTGTTGAATTTCGTATAATTTTGTGTAATTATTTATTGTTTGTATAGTTGCAAGATGTATACTGCCGCGCAAAAGATCCACAAGGACAAGGATGCTGAGCCCACCGAGTTCGAGGAGAATGTCGCTCAGGTAATTCCCTCGTATTCATGCTTTTAACATTCTTACTGAACTAATATATTGCGCACTTAATTATAAGTTACGAACTTTTTGTTTGTGTGCAGGCCTTGTTCGATTTGGAGAACACCAACCAAGAAATCAAGAGCGACTTGAAGGACCTGTACATCAACTCTGCTTTGTAAGTGTTCCGACTTTCGACTATTCGCTTTCATCTTTGCTAGAGAGTTGATTATATAATCTTTATCTGTATAATGTATGCAGGCAGATTGATGTTTCCGGGAGCAAGAAAGCTGTTGTGATCCACGTTCCATACCGACTGAGGAAATCTTTCCGCAAGATTCACTCCAGGCTCGTAAGAGAGCTTGAGAAGAAGTTCAGTGGAAAGGTAAATACTGTTTTGTCACGTTAAATGAACCTCAAAAAGGACGGTATTAATGTGTTATTTGTTTTACTAATGTTTGCGTTTTTTTGGGGAATTATAGGAAGTTGTTGTGATCGCCACAAGAAGGATTGTGAACCCACCGAAGAAGGGTTCCGCTGTTCAGAGGCCGAGATCCCGCACACTAACTGCTGTGCACGATGCTATGCTCGAGGATATTGTGTATCCCGCTGAGATTGTTGGAAAACGTATCAGATACAGACTCGATGGAACCAAGATTATGAAGGTGGGATTTTCTTGATTTGATTACATATGTTTTCTTTTAAATTTTTTTTTAACGAAATCTGTGTGTTGAGTATCCTAAATCCTTTTCATTTATGCGTCTATGTAGATCTTCTTGGATCCCAAGGCGAAGAACGACACTGAGAACAAGCTTGAGACGTTCTCTGGAGTCTACAGGAAGCTTTCCGGGAAAGACGTTGTCTTTGAATTCCCAATAACCGAGGCCTGAAAAACCGAATGTTTTGTGATTTCTTCTTTTGCTTTAATTGAAATATGATATACATTTTTAGTTTGGGCTATTTTGAAGTTTTGATCAAGAGAATTCGGATATCTTTTTAAGGGACTTGTTCTCCGTTTTTGCTACAACTGTTGAATCTTTTATGGCTTAGTTTAATGTGTTCCTTATTGTGTCGAAATTCAGTTATTTGTGTTATTGTTTACTTGTGTCTTTGAATTATTACAGTGGATAATGGTTGGATGAGGATCCTGCATGGGTTATTATTCTGAACTAATGTTTGAGTGTTAGGGTCTAAAAGTAGTATTTTAATCTTGAATTTTGAATAATTATGTTTTGTTTGGTAATTGTTTTCTAATTATGTACAATGTGAATTATTTCTTGGGGGCAACTAAAATAAATCCCAATTTTTTCTCACGTCAATACCTCCAAGTTTAAAACCATTTTTTATAGAAGTTTTTACAACTTTTTCTTAGTTTAAAACCATAAATAAATAAAAAATGCTAGCAAAGTACAAAAATGCCCTTCATCAACCATAATACAATTTATACAAATAATTTTTTTATTCCTCACTTCAATACCAAGGAAAAAAAGAAAAACAAATCCTTTCTTCTTCTCCCCAAACTCAAATCCCTTAAACCTATCTTCTTCATCTTCTTAAATCCTCCAAAACATCTCCAAATTCAAAAAATCAAAACCTCACAAAACTTATAAAATGGAGTTATAAGACAATAATATGGTAGTATATATGGAAAGAGAACCCATTAAGGTAAGTATCAATGTCTTTTTTGAGCTTCGAAGTCCATTTTGAAGTTTTTTTTTTACTCCGCCGGCAATTTTCGACACATACAGGTCGATTTTTTGGTCAATTTTCGACACCAACGTGTCGAAAAAAAAAAAACAAATTTCGACACATACCTGTCGAAAATCTCCCAATTTCGACAGGTATGTGTCGAAGAAATACTATCGGTAAAGAAAATAAAAAATAAAAAATAAAATTTTTTACCAATAGTGTTTTTCGACACATACCTGTCGAATTGGGAGAATTTTCGACAGGTATGTGTCGAAATTTGTTTTTTTTTTTTTTTTTTTTTTTTTAATTTTTTCGACACGTTGGTGTCGAAAATTGACCTGTATGTGTCGAAAATTGCCGGCGGGTTTGAAAAAAAAAACTTCAAAATCGACTTCGAAGCTCAAAAAAGACATCGATACTTACCTTAATGTGTTCTCCTTTCATATATACTACCATATTATTGTCTTGTAACTCAATTTTATAAGTTTTGTGAGGTTTTAATTTCTTTAGTTTTGAGATTTTTTAGAAGAGTTTTTGGGGGAGGGAGAAGAAGGAGGTGGAGGAGGTGAGGGGTTTGTGAGTGAGGAGGGAAATGGTTTTTTAGGGTTTTTGATTATTTGGTATTTAAGAAAGAAAAATAGTATTTGTAATATTTTTTTTATTTTAATTTTCATTAAGGGTATTAAAGTAATTTACAATTAATTATTTAATTTTTATTTTTTTGGTAATCAAGTAAGCAAAAGTTGGGATTTGAAATAGTGATCCCTTATTTCTTGCCTCTAAATACCTTTTCTATGATAAAAATACGCAAAAGACATACGGGATAAAAATTGTACGAAAGACATTGTGAAAGTACTTGTTTGTTAAAACAACAAACCAAGGTATAGGTCATATATTTGTTGATAAGCTATCAAGTTGGCTCTAACTGCATTAGCTAGTAGATTTTGATTTGTTTTTTATTCGATAAAGCTCGACTGCGAGCACAACCTGATTGCCTATCAAATCAAGTTCGATAAAAAATCAAACAAATTTCAACAATTAGTTCAACTCAACGCGATTCATTTACACCCAAACTTTAATGCGAACTCATATAAATCCTATCTCTTGCTCACGTGAACCAAAGCACATTTTCGCGAAACAAGGAAAAAAATTAAGAAGTGTAGTTGTCGGGAATGATATATAACAAGTTGCGATAAATTGTCCATTAATTTTCGCAGCCTCCGGTGAAATTTTTTTGGAACAAGATTTTCAGTGACAAAGATGGTCCAAGTAAAGAAAACCCTTAACGCATCCCAGTTGGCGACAATAGACGAGTCGTGGTTTGGAACTTTGGCGAGAAAAAAAATACCACACAACACAACCCTTAAAATGCTATTTTAAGTAAGGGTCAACTTTAACAAGTCTTTGATGGAAGCATACACCATAACATTTTATTCTTTATTTTATACTTTCTTTTTTTCTCAACCATATATGAAAACAATGCTATCAGTTATTTATCACTGAGTGAACAAAACAAGTTGTCTGAAAAATGCATCCCAAAACCAGCCATAAACTTCTCCTCTTAATCCAAGCAGCTCTTGTGTCAATATTCTTGGCACTTCTCTTCTGTCGCCAGAGCATTGACGAAAACGAATTAAATGCTCCGCCGGATTCTCTTTCCGGCGGGTTTTCGTTCCGACTGTTGCTGGCGGCAAATTGCAGTGGCGTCGGCGGGACGTGTGTGCATGACCGGCGATCCAAATCTACTGTTAGCCTGCAGACTGTTGCTGCAGGTCCGGAATCCGAAGGTAAAATTACCCTTTGAGTCGACTTTTACGTACTACTGCAGATTGTTATTGAATTTCATTTTATAATGTAATACTTGTTTATGATTTCTTGTGAAATGAGTAAAAATCTAATATTAAAAAAGTTAGCTATTTTTGTTTTAATTAGATCTTCAGAATAAGGGGTAAACGAGCTGAGCCGACTTGTGAGCTCGATCAGCCGACTTCAAAAAAGCTCGAACTCAAGTTTTTCGAGCTCGAGCTTTATTTTTATCTTTTAAGTTAATATGAATACTTATTTTATAATTAATAGTGGGTGATTCTTTTTTAAATAAATATTAATGCTTAAATAAATTACGTAATAAATTATTGGTCAATCAACCCTTCATAATTTTTACCAATATCGACCGATTGAAATTAAGTTTAACTGCAATGAATTATATGTGTGAATTTTTATGGTTTAACATGTACGGTAAAATTAATACTTGATAAATTAGTAATATCACTTAAAGAATAATTTTTTTCTGTCCAGATTCGGGGATAACATATTAAATTATTAATTCGATAACATAATATTCCGCTAAATTAATAAAACTTTACCAATCTCATTTGTATTAATTAGAGAGATTTAATTTTATATCATTGGAATGTTTAATTTGCATATACGTATGAAATAAGTTACAGTTAAACCGTTATAAATGAATAGTATCGGGACGAACCAAAATCTATTGATTTAGCAAAATAATTTTTTATCATGTTGTCCTTGAGTTGGGACTGAGAAAAAATATTTTTGAACGAGGTTATTAATCTGCTGAGTATTAATTTATCTATTCTATTGTAATAAATAATAATATTGTGTGTAGGGGTGCAAGTTGGAATGGAAATTCCAATTTTCGACGGTTTCGATTCGAAAAGTTCCAATTTTTGAACAACTTTATTCATTCCGACTTCCGAAATTCCGATTTCTGAAATTTACAGATTTTTTTGGATAGGAATTGGAATTATATAAAATAAATTTGGAATTTCCGATTTTCGATCCAATCTGATTCCCGAAATTAGTTCCGAATTTTTTCCGAACAATACACCTATAAATAATAAATATTATATAATGCTTATTTTTCCGAAAAATACACCTATAAGTTTTGTTTTAGAATTTTGACGAATGAATTGTTGTTAAAAGTTCTATTAGATATTATGTTGTGTTTATTTTTATTTATTTTTTGAACTGAAATTTAGTAGTTATTAGTTTTACTTTTATCGACGTGGACGTTCTTATTTTTGGAAAATTATGAACATTTTTAGAAAATTTACGCTAAGTTTTGAAATTTTTAAGCTTATGTATTTTCTGATTTTTTTCCGAAATTCCGAAATTTCCGGGCCTTTTGGAATTGGAATGAATTTTTAGATTCCGAAAATTTTGGAATTGGAATAGGAATTGATTTTGTACTTCCGAAGTTTTTTGGGAATTTTCTGAAAAGCCTAATTCCGATCCGATCCATCCGACTTTCACCCCTAATTGTGTGGAAGATATGATGTGATGCAGAAGCCGGCGGTGCAATGTTTAGGTTGGTGAACAATTGTACGTATACAATTTGGCCAGCAATTAAAGGCAACCCGGATCTGATAACCTCGGGAATCGAGCTCGAGCTCCGTACGGGCGTCACACGTGCCATTCCGACCCCATATGGCTGGTCTGGTCGTTTCTGGGGCAGAACCGGTTGCAACTTCAACGACTCGGGCGTCGGCCCCTGTGACACGGGCGACACTACTGCCACGCTGGCCGAGTTCGTCACCGGTTCCGGCAACGGCGACTTCTACGACGTCAGCCTCGTTGAAGGGTTTAATGTTCCCATGCGGGTCGATGCAGTCGGCGGGCGGGGTCAGTGCACGTCCGTGGGTTGCGTGGAGGACCTGATAGGCATGTGCCCCGCGGAGCTGAGGAACGACGACGGTGGCGCGTGCCGCAGCGCGTGCAACGCGTTCAACACCACCGTGCACTGTTGCAGAGGCTCGACGTGCGCGCGGACACAATACTCGCAGTTTTTCAAGGACGCGTGCCCCCTGGCTTACAGCTTGGCCGTTGAGGATTCCAATAGCGTCTTCACATGTAGGGATGCCGACTACGTCATCACCTTCTGTGCTGCAACCATTCCCACGAACATTTCTACATTTGCTCCCGAGCCGTCTTCCCCGGGACCGACTTCACCAGGGCCATCTTCCCCGGGACCGACTTCACCGGGGCCATCTTTTCAAGGGCAAGTGCGCGAGGGGTCTTTTCCAATAGGGATCGCAATAGGTAACCGTCGAAACATTTTACTCCTCTTCACTTTCAGGGTAAATATCATAAAATCTCCTGGAATCAGACACTACACCGGATTATTTATATGAGGTGAATGTTAACCATAGTTGGGGTCAAAATTCCACCCAATAAGCGCGCACACACATGGCGTATATGTTATTATGTGCAGATCTACTTTAACACTTACATGATGTAGATTAACCGGTGTAGTATCTAATTTTCTATAAAAACTCCATGTGTTAAGGAAAATCTACATCGAACCCCCTAAATTCTTTTTATTGCATAAAAATCCTCCATGTTTCACTTTTCTTTGCATGAAATTCTATTTTTCGTTAACTGTAGAGGAAAAAAAATTATGAATGTTTTTTTTTTAACATAGAGTGATTTGGTTATG